TATGTCGAAGGATAGAGCATATTTTGAGGTTCTGGCACTTAAAGAACATGGCCGCTTAAGCCCCGAGCATGTCTCTGAAGTTTATCATTTTGACGTACGTCTTTAATTGGCACGTGTTACCTGGAACCTGCGCATATAATCCTAAGAAAAGATCTGATTGCTGGATTGAGTACCCGTTATTGGCAGAACACACGGCTAATTACATGGCCCAGACACTGTTCTTTACATCTCTCCTTTTTCAAACCACTACTGAGCACAAGAGAGATGGTAATCTTCCTCCACCACTTTTCTTTATCTGTTGTTTCACGTGCTTTACATTTATCTCACTTTAAGTTGAACTTTGGATTCAGATTGTCTTGTCTAGCATGCGTAAACCTTGCTAGTGTTGCCATTGTAATGCATGGTATTCTTTTGTCTTCTGAAACTGCGTGACGCTGTCACTATGCCTTTAGTACGTGTCACTGGGACACAACATCGTTTGGGGTTAGGTATGGGAAAAAAAAGCTGCAAAATTCTAATATAGTGTTTTTGTGTGTCTTTTATCTTGTAGAACTTCGCAGCTGTTTTCTCTAAATTACTTGGTTCTGATTCTGTTATATCTGACTGCGCCTAAAAGTTGATTGAGTCATAGTGGTTATGTAGGCTAATTTTATATTGCAAGTCGGGGTCTAACTGCTCCGTTGTATGTGCGTTGCTCATTTGTGCTTACTAAAGAATTTACTTTTGCTTATAGTTTGCGTGAGAAAACTGGTCCCAAAAAAAAAAATCATTTGTTATTATAAGATTGTAATTATAATTGTTTTTTTTTATATGTTATTGGTGATATATGTGTCTATAGATGGACCATTAAGACTGGATAAATTTCTTATAAGCCTAAATACACATTGGCTCAATGCAGTTGCCAATTTGCGGGAATGTGAAGATGTGTAGGCATACTGCACTAGCTGTTTTCTCTGACCCTTATCTCAATATAATCACTTGGACTGCTCCTTACGTCGATCATGATGCTGAGGCTGTTCGAGAACAGTCGATCTGCTGAAGCTTGAAATTGCTGGGCTGAAATCCAAGTATCATGACTAGGGCAAAGTTTCCATTACATGCGGCTGTTAAATTGCTTTAGTTTCTTCTCTAATTAGAATTTATATTCCTGTAGGTTCTGTGAGAGGGCCCTCGCTCTAATCCATGGAGATCGACACACTAGTTTTGTCATGGTTACTCAGGAATCAACTCAAGTTATTGATCCAGAATTTGCATTTCATGGACCAATAGGTTTTGACATAGGAGCATTCCTGGGAAACTTGACACTCTTTTAGACCCGGCACTAGCAGCATGACTTAATCGAAACTTGCGTTGATTTGTTCCTTGACTGGTTTTTTTATGTTCTTCCACTGTGTTATCTTGTTTAGGGTGGAATTTTTTCTTTTAGTCAATTTATTGTCACACCATAACGGGATAAATTACATGATGAAACTTTACATGCATTAATCACTGAAGAGGAGAAAATTAAGGATTTAAACACAGAATTTCATGCAGACATATGAAGAGTGGATTTCTTAAGACAAGTGAAGACTCTTGGAATTTTTTTCATGATAGATTCATCGCACTTTTGCACGGCATAGAAAGGGTCCTGGTGAGGCCTATCTTTCGTCAATTTGTAACAATGCTGAGGTTCTGCTGCTTGCACAAAAGAGATACATGGAAGATCTGTTTCATGACACTCTTGGATTTGGTTCAGCCAAAATGATAAGGTGACACTAAACACGTTCCTATTTTTACTTTTATGATGTATAACTTCCATGTTTGCATAATTTGGGCTTGTTTTAGCTTTGTAAATAGAAAGGAAAAATGTCATATCAACACTTATATCACGCACAACTTGGTACTTACTGTGAAATGATAGTGTAAAAACTTGAAAGTCGTTGTTTTAGATCGCCTGGTTAACGTTATCCTTTTAATGATCTGACTGGCAGGAGAATTGTTGGTGTGGCACATGCATGTTGAAGATTTTGAGTCCATTAGTAATGCTAGCAAACGAGCCAGCTGCGAACGTCGAGCACTTGACTTATTTGCCAAGATGATTCTCGAGGAGAGAAGAAAGTTTGAAGGAATTACTGAAGTTGTTGCAGCTATTCGGCAGTTCTAGTCATAGCACTTGGTTTTGTTGTTGAGCACTTGGTTTTGCTGATTCTATCAAAGCGTGGTTTCCAGCTTGAAACCAAACGTTTCTGAAGAAAGCTTTGTGCTCAAAATAAATCTTTTAGAATTTTATTGTCTGTTCATATAAATGTACAAGAATCTGGTCTTGTGAAGACCTTGATAAAGTGATAAGGATCTATACGTTTTTTTTTTTTTCCCACTCTTCTGTGGATTGCTTGGTTGTGCAATATACACCCTTTCCTTTTGTTCTAGACATCAATTACATTCTTCCTGAAATCTAATGGTCCATTGCATGAGTATTTTTAAATTGTTGGAAGAATCTTGGTAAATTTGTAAACGTATTAAGAAATATTTGTCTCCAGGGATGAAATTGGAAAACAAAGGCTACTTTGGAATGCCTAATTAAGATTTTACGCTCGTATCAATTAGAGCTCATCATTTTTCAAGTTAGAATTGTTCTATCTTTTTCAGATTGCTCAGTGCGAAAGGTGTTGGCAAAATTTTGTTAACAACCAGTTTTGTTGTTCCTTATTGTTTACTAAACCCTTGCTTGCTGTATGATCAGCCAGGATCAGAATATTTTCTTAGCCATTTCTCTTTAGTTTTGAGCGGAAACAGTGACTGAAAAGTTTTGGAGATTATTTTCAATTATCGAATCCTTATACTTTAGAAGCTTAAAGAACACTCCCTATAATTTACACGATGGGGTGTTTGGTTTTCCCAAAAAAATACTTTTACATGAATCGAGACAAAATTTTTTCACATTCATACTTATTTTGTATATCATAAAATCACTTTTAAAATTATAATTTAATTTTCATCCAAATACCCTTTTAATTAATTACAGAGATGATCCTATATGTACAGGAGCCTCTGTATCTTTGAGAGGCAGCTTCGCTCGACTAACTCAAAATGGGTGAAGGATGAGTAGTCCAGACTAAGTCAACAGATTTAGTGATGATTTAAAAACATAGTTTAAATAAAATGTACAAAATATTTATATTCGACTATAAAAAACGAATTTCAATTAAATGTATTAATTATTAATAAGTGAAGCTATATTAAATTGTTGGATATGTTGATAAATCGTGTGTGTATTTATACATTTTCTCAGTCAGGAGCCGTGACCAATTGAATCTAATTAAACTATATTATATTTTATTAGTCATTCTACATTTTGTGAGAACTAATTGGTTAAATCCTAGAAATTTATAAATAAATTTTTCATTTAAAATTTTTGCACATATAACTATTGAATATTATTTTCCTTTGTACAGATTTTTAGAGTTTAATTGAAGATTAATGATTACATATATCTTGATGTAAATGAAACAAGAACAAAGCTCTAAGAATTATTATATATAAACTTCAAAGAGTTCCAAAACTCGAAAGAAGAATCTATAAAACTTAACATACAGCAATACCATACACATACAAACTAAGAAACATATCTAATCTCCATTAAAACTAACAAGGTGGGGGGGGGACACGAGTAAATTGGTCCGTACATTAATAATCTACATACGGTGCACATTTTTACAAATGCACAATTATATTCCAAATCCATTTTCCTAATGTCTTCGAAATTGCGCATAAAATTTTTTGGCTCCTCCACACATAAAATCTAACACCCTTTTTCCATATTGATCAGTACACAGAATTCTATAGTGTTTCGAAATTGTGCTCACCAATGCATCATACAGAGCTCCCTGCAAAACCAAATACAAAATTTATTAGTATATTCATACATAAAAAGTTACTACTTCTAGTTCTATTTATAAGACATTATTTATAGATTACAAACAAGATCTTATAATAGGACCAAAGTAGTAATTTAGAATAGTATTATAGATAAGAGTTATACATAACTAAATATCACCACGAGAATACTACATCCAGTTCTTAATATAAGATTTAGATAATTAATTTGGTGATATTAAGAAAATTAGTCAAGAATTTGGAGATATTAAGAAAATTAATTAAGTTGGTTATTTGTGTGTTAGTCTTCTTAAACTATCCTCTTCAATATTAGATAATTAAAATTACCCCTTTCTAGGCATCACTTATAAGCAATAAGAATATTTTGTGGAAAGATGTGAAGAATCGAGGCAGTATAATTTAAGCGAAAGCTAAAACCATTTAGGTAGGTAGAGAGATGAAGTTGAAGAATCTAACCTTAGAACATTCCAAGGCTGTCTGAGCAACGTAATTGCCGAATGGGTCTTGAAGAAGGTACAAAAAGCTAGGGCTATTTATAATCTCTTGAACTATAATATCAACATTCTTCTGAGTTGAGAATATCAACAGATTTTCCACCACATTGCTAGCCTGCTTGTTAATAGACAAGTCAACATAGCAACCTCGAAGTTGATTCACTATTGCTTCATTTACTTCACCCAACCTCAACTTAATCACATACTGCACCACATAGTTCCTGTGGATATATATATATATATAACAACATAATTAGCTTATAATAAATATTTATTTATTTTATTAAAGAATGATTTTTTAAAAAATTGTGTAAATGATTCTATTTACTGACCCGTATTGATGTGGTGCTAGCACTGTGACACGATTAGTAACGGCACAAATCAACAAGTAAGAAAGTTCTAGCGTAGAAATAGATAGACATTTTTGAAGAACAAAACAACCGCTTTTGTTTGTGGCAACAAGAGTGCATTCAGATGCCATTGCATCTAAAATAGCCTGAAAATAAAAACATTGGTTATTCATTAAGTCATGATCAACATATAACTTTGTAATAGTATATATTAGTGTGTAATAAGAAAATTAAGGAATGAAGAGTTGTATTAATTAATTACCTTTGAAAAAGATGGCTATGACAAAGTTTTAAGAAATGTTGAAGGACATAACTTCCATAATGGGAAGTGGCTATTGGGACAACAATTTCCCTCAGAGCATATGTAAAACAATCCATTGCCTTTCTGTCGTAAGATGATGTATCATACTTTGTATAACTCTGCATCTATAACCAAAAAAAATGAGTAAAAAAATCTATTAAACAAAAAACCAAAACAGGAAAAAAAATATATCAAATTAAGTGATTTTTGTGTTGAAATTATATAAAGTTTATGTCAAAAGTGTAACTTCTTACACTAGTATACCGAATAAAGAGACTGCATAAATTATATCAGACACGTAAAAAGTTTTACAATAAGAATAATATGAGATGATTTCATATGATAAATCGTGAAATAAAATAAAGATAGTTTGAGAGAAAAATAATATCATACCCTTACCCTATATTGTTTTTTGCAGGCAATCTGAAATTTGGGAAGATCCTTAGTGATCAATTCAAAAAGGAGGGTTATTTGATCCTCATTGAGTACATCAAAAATCTTTTCAATGACGCATTTCCCAAACTGGTCCATCATTAAATCATGTAAGTGATTCAACAACTCCATTAAAATGAATTTAATATCTCTAGGGTTCTTCCCATCCAACAATCTCACCAGAAATTCACTTCCATATTCCTCTTTCGACATTGAAACACACGTCCCCTCATAACTTCAAGCGATGTAATGTCATTATATCTCTGCAAGATTCTTCCTACAGGAGAATTATAATAAACAGGGCTGGGTCCAATCCTAGCGTTCCCAATAACTAGGGTTTCATTGTTTGTATTGTTACATTGAGATAGTCCTTCATAAACAAGGTGGTGGGGTCCAATCCCAAAGTTTCCAACTAGGGTTTGTTGGTTGGTATTTTGCTGGTTTGTATTATTTTCATGAAGCAATCTTGCATAATCATGACTTGGTCCAATCCCAAAGTTTCCAGCAGCTAGGATTTGCTTATTTGTAATATTATACCTATAAAGAGCTCCATCATAAATATGTCTTGGTTCAATCGGCCTTGAGTTTCCAGCTAGGGTTTGCTGATTTGTACTATTTTCATGAAGTAGTCCTTCCCCTACGGAATCAATTCTCAAGTTTTGTAGTTGAGCCTCTAGTGGATGTAAGGGTCCAAAATTGATATTTTCATCAAATTCTATGCTGTTAAGAGAAATTTGACTTCGAGGTTGACTGTTCAACGAAGAACGATCTATTTCTGACATAGGATTTCCAACGTGGTCGTGATAGTTCACGTAAGCGGGGGGGTTTTCTGGATTTGGAATAAGTTCGACGGCAGGAAAATCATCAGAAGGAGATCCATTACGAAGAAATTGAGTAGACTGATCCATCGCTGCAGTTAAAACACACATTATCCAAAAATAAAGCAAGAATCATAACTCTTTACTGTTAAAAAATAAATCAAATCAAATAAAGGAATAAAAAGAAACGAAGCAAAACAAAAGATAAATATCATCAATAATTAGCAATTACGTAACACGTACTAAAAGTCATAATACTATAAATAATAAATAATATTGTAAATGAATGATAGATTCTTGAATTAATAAATTTTTCAAATTCCTAATAACCACGAGACCTAAGTTTGCGTATGTGGGTACATTGAAGGTTTTTTTTTGGTCAGTTGAAAGGATTACTAAACTAGTCTCAACAGGATTTTCATTCAGTAGAATATATTCCGGGAAAAATAAAAATTTAAAGAAAGAAAGAAAGATTGCCTGATGAACGACCAAACAATGAATGAAGATGCTGTTCCTTCTTCTCCCCAGTCTCATCCAACGAAAACTTTAGCTGAGAGCTAGCGTTTTTATATAAAAGATGGACTCAGATTAAATAAATTTGGATACATAAAGATCAATCTATCAGATAGACTAGAAATTATATAATCATATAAATTATATAAATATAATAAACATTTTAAAATTAAAATAAATAAAGCAATCAGCATCACGAATGTTATCAGATAACTTTGTTTAAGCATGATGCGTAACAGCTTGGAGCAATAATTTTATCGCGTAAGTAATTTTTTCCATTACAGAAAGTTATACTTTTAAAAGTTGAGTTATCATCAATCTATTTATATCACCTTTTGTTTAATTCAGTATTTATATATATTTAAAAAGAGATATACGTTTCAATTTTCTGACAATCATGATTTATCTTTTAATTTTGTTTTGATAAACATTATAATTTTAAAAGAGGATTCAAAATTATTTAAAAAATTATATTTACCATCTTACCTTTAAGTTATCTATTTATTTTTGATTTGGTTCTTTTTTTGGGTGATGATTCCAATGCCATCCTAGTCTTTTTGCTTTCACTTGTTTCATCAAATTAATAACGTAAAAACATAAGCAATCACATTTTTTTATTTTGCATAATCATTAATATATAAGAAAAAATTGCAAAAGAACACCGCTGAAATTAAAAAATTGTACACGAGAATCCGTTCACAAAAATTATTCTCAAAACTCATACTATTGTTATTGAAACTCATACTAATGTTGTAACAGGTTCTTATTTGTAATTTTCTATTGAAGATTTTTTTTTTACGATTTTCCTTAATATAAAGTTTAACGGTTGTGAACAGCTAATGTTATTTTATTAAATTTAGAAGTTTATATACTTATTTTGAAAACAAAGATAAGATTAGAATTTAATCAGACTGAGAATTTTATAACATAATCAAAGTACCCTAAATAATTAATATAATTACATAACTGGTGAAGTCAGTGAAGCAGGTTAAGAATTGCCATAGGAAATCAAAGAGAAGGCAAGGCAGATGCTAGAACTTAGGTGAGATTTGGGGTGCCGCTCAATTTTTTCCTACTTCTTTTTTTCATAAGATTCTATACAAAATAAGAAAAGTTTTAATATGTAAAAAATTATTTTTTAATGGTTTTTCAAAGAATTTATTTTTAAATTAAAAAAAACACATCGTCAATTTTGGAGTTGAACCATTTTTTATTCATAATATATTACTATACCTTAATAAAAGAGTTAGTTAAAAATTAATTTAGTGTTAAATATAAGACCTCAATTTACAAAAATTTAATTTAGTCTTAAATATAAGACCTCAATTTACTTTTTCTCTCTTTTTTTAAAAATATCTCTATTGATTATAAAGAGTTCGCATCAAGAATAATTCAATCATCCAATACATATTATTGAAAAGGATAATATCAACACATATTTATAACAATTAACCAATTTAACTAATTTTTCTAATCTCTCCAAATTCATTATTTAGCCTTTTTTTTTGGACAAAAAATTTAGCTCTTGGATTAAACATAGAGGTAATAAAATTTTACTCATCTAAAAATTTGGGAAGTAGAGGAAAATCAATGGAAGGTTAGAGAGAAGTTGAGAGTTTCTTGCTCTGCAATGCAACTATAGTACATAGATCGCAACCGTGATTTTTCACTAAGAATGTGGTGCGTCAAAGAGTTCAATCATTTGCATTTTGCACAACGTTTATGAAGACTCTTAAAGTCAAAGTCTGCGCTTCTGAATCACCCAACATGCTTTTACCTTCCCAACGTGATCTTGTCCAAAAATTCCAGGTTCATTTCTCTGTTGCTCGGCTTCTTCATTCCCGTCCAGAATGCCCAAGCTTTATAAACATCTTTGCCCTCTTGAGAGGCCCCATTTCTCGATTTCATCTTCTTCAAGTTCATGCTCGCATCTATCAACTAGGAGCCCATCAAAACGATTGGGTCGCTACGCGTCTCATTGGTCGTTACCCATCTTATGTATCTCTCCGGATTTTTCATCAACTTCAGAATCCTAACATCTTCCCTTTCAATGCCATTATCAGAGTCCTCGCTGATGAGGGTCAATCCTCTCACGCATTCTCTGCGTTCAAGAATCTCAACGACGATCTCTTTTGCCTAATGATTTCACCTTTTCTTTCCTCCTCAAGGCATGCTTCTCGTCCGCAGATGCCCGTATCGTTGAGCAAGTTCATTCTCAAATTCAGAAGATGGGTTTGCTTAATAATTTATTTGTTAGTAATGGATTGGTCTCAGTCTACGCCAAAGGGTTTCATGATTTGGTCTCTGCACTTAAAGTGTTTGATGAAATTTCCTGACATAACAGTGGTTAGCTGTTGGACTTCGTTGGCCAAAGGTTATGCTGAATCGGGTAAGAGTGAAGACGTTTTGAATCTTTTCCGGGTGATGATTGAGCAAAATATACATCCAGAAAATGATACCATGGTCAGTGTGTTGTCAGCATGTTCTAACTTTGCTACACCAACTATTCAGAAATGGGTTGCCATTCTTTCGGAACTTGTTGATAACACTGACCCTGAAGAAATTTGCCGTGACTCCATTAATACAGTCCTCATATATCTTCATGGAAAATGGGGAATGATTGAGACGAGCAGAGACAGATTTGATCAGGTTTCTTCTAAGGGTAAAAGAAGTGTGCTTCCTTGGAATGCTATGATAAATGCGTATGTTCAGAATGGTTTACCTTTGGAGGGTTTAACTCTTTTCCGCACGATGGTGGAAGATCAAATAACTGAACCTAACCACGTTACCATGGTTAGCGTTCTTTCAGCTTGTGCTCAAATTGGTGATTTGGATCTGGGTGTGCGGGTTCATGAATACATGATGTCCAACGGACGAAAGGGTATTATTGGATCAAACCGAATACTTGCTACAGCATTACTTGATATGTATTCTAAATGTGGGAGTTTAGATAGGGCAAAGGAAGTTTTTGAACATGCAGAATCCAAAGACGTTGTCTTGTTCAATGCTATGATCATGGGTCTTGCAGTAAACAGTGAGGGAGAGAATGCCTTGAGGCTCTTCTACAAAATGTTTGAATTTGGCATAAAACCTAATGCTGGAACATTTCTTGGGGTTTTGTGCGCATGCAGCCACTCTGGATTGTTAGAGAGAGGACGTCAAATATTCAGGGACATGAATATGACCTTTAAGATTTCTCCTAACTCAGAACATTATGCTTGTTATATTGATCTCCTTGCAAGAGGGAACATGCTAGAAGAAGCTTTGGAAGTTGTAACATCCATGCCTTTCAAGCCTAACAATTTTGTATGGGGTGCACTGCTTGGAGGTTGCTTGCTCCATTCCAGAGTTGAATTGGCTCAAGAGGTTTCCATGAAGCTTGTGGAGGCTGACCCGAGTAATTCTGCAGGCTATGTAATGTTGGCTAATGCTTTTGCCTCGAATCACCATTGGAGTGATGTATCAGCATTAAGGACGGAAATGAGAGAGAAAGAGATAAAGAAGCAACCAGGATATAGCTGGATTAGCTTGGATGGAGTTGTTCATGAGTTTCTTGTTGGGTGTTTTCACATCCTCAAATTGAGGACATATATAATACATTGGCCATCTTGGTGAAACATCTGAGAGTACCAGGCCTGTCTGTCGGTAGAAATGCTGTGACTAGAGATTGCTGGGAGACAGCATCTGAGTAATTTTTTTCTTTCTTTCTTTCTCCTTTTTTTTTTGGGTTATAGAACAACAAAATCTTAAAAATAGACAATTAAAGCA